AATACATTTGTATCCACTTTATATAGGTAAAATAGTTGGTATGTTAGCTATTGCTGATCAGATAAAACCAACGGCTCCATTAACTATATATGTATTACAATCACTTGGTCTACGTACTATTTTATTAACAGGTGATAATGTTAAAACAGCTCGAGCGATTGCTAATCAAGTAGGCATTAAAACTGTATATGCTGAAGTTTTACCAACACATAAAGAACGTTTTATTGCCAGTCTAAAAGAAAATAAAAAAACGCATGGTAAAATAGCTATGGTCGGTGATGGTATTAATGATTCACCAGCATTAGCTCGTGCTGATGTTGGAATAGCTGTTGGTACTGGTACCGATGTTGCTGTTGAAGCAGCTTCAATTGTATTAGTTCGTGATGAACTTTTTGATGTTGTTGCTGCTATAATGCTCTCAAAAAAGACCGTATGGCGTATTCGAATCAATTTTATGTTTGCTACTATATATAATATAATCGGTATTCCAATTGCTGCTGGTATATTAATACATTTAATTTGAAGAAAATGTTTTTTTTAACTATTATTATTATTATTGTTTAGGTATACTTCTACCCGCCGGTGTTCAACTTATGCCATGGATGGCATCAGCAGCAATGGCATTATCATCTGTTAGTGTTGTTATTTCATCATTACTTTTACGTTATTTTAAAAAACCAAAAATGCAGAAATATGAAAGAGATGTACGTTATCGTCAATGGTTATTAAATAAATCAACTGGAATTGTTGTTCATCGTGGTATTGATAATTTACCAGTAAATCGATCAAAATCAAGTATTTTATCAAGTTTTAAAAATAGTCGATTATCACAAATTGTGATAGAATCTATATCAGCTGTGAAAAATGCTGTTATGGAAGAGAAGAAAAAAGCAACATTATTTCTTAATGATGAACAAACAACTAATCAGAATCAAAAAGAAGAAGAAATAGAATTACAAGTAACAGCATTATAGAATAACAATGTGACTTGAAGTTTTAGGCTTTTATAAATTATATTTTATTCCATTGCTGTTTTTTTTGTAAGTCAAATATAGCATATCGATTAATAAAAATGTTTTTAGAACAAATCGTTAAATTTGTTTTCATCCTAATCAATACATTTTTGTATTTTTTTTAATTCATAAATGTTGTTATATTGTAGTAACTAGTTCAAATGATAGCAATTTATTGACTGAAGAGTATGTAACAACTTCTATTGGATACTTGTTATAGTACACTATATTTTTGTTTCGATGGTTAGTACCTGCATTTTCAATGTACTGATTTTAACCTTACAGTCTAGGTGAACTGGTATGAATCTATTCTATTCTTTGTACTTGAAATAAAAGTGATATGTTCCTTCTTTCTTTCTTTCTTTCTTATTTACTCAACAGATAAAAGTAAATAGATAGGTTAAAAAGAAAGAACAAGAAAAAGAAAACTTGAACATGACAGATAAGATGATAACAGATGAATGTCTTTTTATAGTCAGCTCAAGAAGAGTTCGAGAATAGAAATATTAATGATGAGTTATATTTAAAAAAAAAAATTAATTAATTATTGATGTTTATAATAGCTCTCGATATTTTTTCTAAAATAAAACCTAAAATCAAGAAAAATAATATTGGTAATCAACTATTAAGTAAGACGACTTGATTAATCTTCATCAATACCATCTAGACACCTGTATTGAAATAATTTCTAGTAGCGATTGAAGCTCTTTTAATTGTCTACCAGTAAATTAGGTTAAATACTACAGATTATCTTCGAATGGTGAGTTTTATTCTTTGATAATCATTCTACCGACTGATGTATTTTCGAGGCTCAATTCACGTCTCCTCAGGGTTTTATAAACGTGGAAAAAATCGTAGTCAAGGTTAACTTGTCCTGAATGTATGTCTCGAAAAAATACCAATCGAATTCCGATAACATATCAGTTTGTCAAAAGAATGAAACTTACAAGTCAAAACAAATCTCGTGTGTTCAATCTGATTTATTAGTGAGATATTGAATTGACTCCGATGCAGATCTTTAATTTCAGTTATATACATAATAGTGTTACACCTACTCAAAATACCTGGATATAAACTAAGAGTAGCCAATAAATTCAAACAAGTTGGCCATTGAAATAAAACGATAAATAGATGGTTGTTCTTGTGCAAATAAATAAGTGTTTTTTTTCTCTTATCGCATTTATAGCGCAATATTAAATGCATTTATTTGAAGGGTTTTGTTTCCTATATTTCTCGTACAGATTTATACTACCTACATATAGACAGACGTACTCCCTACCTTGTTATTGGGCGACAAAAAAAAAATACATTGTAATCCGATATGAATCACAGTAGTGTACAACAAAACTTGATTAATATCCATCATGATACGCATCATTGCCATCGTCATGTTGATGCGTCGCCTAAAGAAGAATCGATCACAATGGAACGCAATCATCACGATACAAGTGATCATCATTCAATGATGAAAGTAATCAATATTCTAATTCATATGTATTTCTATTTTGAGACGAATACCATTTTATTATTTAGATGTATTTTCATACGGGTTTTACTGAAACAATTTTATTTCAACCATGGAAAACAACATCTATTCCAAGTAACATTTTCAAGGTGAATTTCTTGGATTATATTTTATGCTTTTGTTTTTGTCTTTTTTTTTTTAGTTTTTATTTGTTCATGGATTTTTATATTTATTTTGGGTATTCTATATGAAGGAATTAGAGAAATTCGTCTTGATTTAGAAGAAGTAAAATTAATTGAAAGACCTATGTCTGTCAAAAAATAAAATAATTGAATCTTAATTATATTCAATAATCTATTTTAGAATTCCAAATGAAAGAAACGAAGATGAGTTAGAACGTATGAATATTGAAACAATTGAATCGATTGTTCATACTAAAAAAAAGTATAAAAAAAACGAAAAAAAGAAAAACTCTATCATATATTATTCTTTTGAAGAAATCCTGTACAATATACTGAACGTGCTCTACATAGTATTCTATATGCTGTTCATATAATACTTGGTTATGTACTAATGCTTATAGCCATGACATTTAATATTTATCTTTTTCTTGCCATTATTTTCGGCATTGGTACAGGTCATTTATTATATAAATGGAATTGTATAATACCGTCAAAACACAAGCATCAACGTCGTAGATAAGAGAAAAAATTTTTGTTTGTAATAATTATCAACAATTCTTCGATTCAATTTATTCATACAGTATACTGACCAACATACATTCAATTTGATTAACATTAGAAGAAATAATTTTTGATAAAAGTTAACAAATGGTAGAAACAGTATTTATCAAAATGGGAATCGTTTATAAAAAAATAAAAAAAACTAAATTATTAATATCGAAAAAGAAAATAGGATAGCTATGTATATTTAAATTAGTAAAATAAACATTATTCATTTATTTGTATACTTATAATTATTATATATAATAAAAATGTGCGAAAAGATTTTTTATTTAAAAGAAGTATTCATTATATCTTGAAAATATTGTACAGGTTACAATGATCTTTTAATAATTGAAATGGCAAGTAAACACAAAATTAAACTCTTTTAAAAAGCAAACTAATAGAAAGAAAATTAAATGACTTTCGTTTTGTATTAAGTATCAAGTAATTTGATTCATATTAATATCTTTCGTTGTGTACTTCGTCGTCGAAACTCGTACAGAAATGAACATTACTCAAAAAAAAGATCGTCGAAATGCAAATTACCAAATTTCAGCGAAGAGTATACTGACCTAATGTATTCCATCTTAATATTTCAAGATTATCTGTTGATATATTATAGGAACTTATAATTAGGATTCTATAGTTATGAATATTGATTACTTTTGAGAGTCAATCATTATCTATCAGAAAGCAAAAGTGATTTTGTCGAAGAACTTTAAAAAAAGAAAATTCCGCTTCTAATATTTTACTCTTGCTTGTATGATACGGACATGAACGTATTTCATTTCTATTAAAATTAGTACAATCTTTAGTTCACTAGTTAATTAAAATAATCATTTATAATATAGCTTTAATTATGTTTAACATTAAAGTATATGGAAATATACTTGACATATCTATTCGAATATATAATCAAGATTGATCGATCAATCTATCCATATCCCATGTTATCATAGAAGAACTTGGTCGATGCAGGCTTGGTATCAGTCTTTCGAGAGAAATGTGATCTTTGACATTGACAAATATTATTGAAATTTGTCATTGTTTCATCACTAGGTAATGTAACTTCAATTTTCTTATCTTCAAGAAATACAGTCGTGGAACATTTCAAAGATGATAGTGATTTATTGTGATTTGTTTGATGAAGATTCATAATAAAAATCTAAACATGAAAGAGATAAACAAAGTTGATATTGTGTCTTAATAGTCAGAATGACCAAGCAATAAAATATTTCATGGCATAAATGATGAATCGATTACAAATATTTGCTATGAATCATAGAATAAATATTGAATTGTCGATTTTAGAATATTTACATATGTCAATATAAGACATTTTAATAATAAAATCTACATATCTCAAAGCCTTTTTTTGACTGTTTATTGTTGGTAAAGAAAAAAAAAAGGAAATGTATATCAATCGAAATTTTAAAGTTTGTCAAATAACATTAGTAATTTTATTTTAATTGAGCTTGAAATCCTAAACCAGTAATCTTATCAATTACAGCTTGTTCCGTTGTTTTGCCACTATCAAATTCAACATGTGCTTCCTTATCATCTAATGATACCTAAAAGATAAATTATAAATACATCAAAAATTTTTGTATTATATATATATATATATATTTGAATTTTCTTACTTGCACAGATTTAACACCATCTATTTTACCAACATTACGTTCTATATTTTTGACACATGATTGACAAGTCATACCATTTACACTAAATACTTTTTTTGTAGTTGAACTCATATTTAAACGAAAGTATCTTAAAATAAGAAGAAAATTATTTTTAAAACAAATACATAAAATATATTCAGCATATTCATGTTACCAAAAAGTAAAATGGAGGCTTCTCGGTAACTGACTTGATAAGAATTGAATATATACCACTAATTATTAAGTTGAGATAAGCCCTTCAATTCAGTTTTTTTTATGTACACACGCAAAATTGCCATTGCATAAAATGCATTCAATCTTCTTTAGAGAAAATATTTAAAAAAGGGGGCGCTCGATGATAGACGTTTGTTTAAACTTTTTTTTTGTAATTTCTTTAAATGACACCTAATACAAAAGTTTTATCATATATATTTACAACGGAATATCAAATGATTCAATTGTACATTATAGTTTTAATATGTAACTAATAAAATAAAGCGTAGTGGATTTCTGTTCGAAATTTGTTATCATAATATATTTCAATCATTCAAAAAAAATATATTATTCATATGTGTATGAAAAAATGATTATGTATTTTTCGGAATTAAAACAATTATTTAAGGTTTCTGCTGTTATTTTGTTATCATTTTTACTTTTTGATGTGCACTATTTTGGACGAGATAATATTCAACTGAACCATTGGCATATTTTTGAAATTATTCTTTTGCCCTTATACCTTAAGAATACCGGTTGTTAATTTTCACATTGTGAGAAAATGTATCAATATTCCAAATTGTGCAAGATTAATGAACTCAAACATGAAAAGACTGTACGGATTTAAACAAAATAACAAGACGTCCTTGTTTATTTCATAACCAAGATGTTCATTTCATGTTTGCAAAAAAAACCTAGTTGTATACATGAATTTTTCTTTCTTACACTGGCGATCATCAATCTGAATAGAAGAGAAAACAATTGTACGAGGCAGTACATGAACCATCGTATTAATTCAAGAAAGAAAGAAATAACTTCAAAAGAAAACTTGAATTTATTAAGATGATAGGATTAAGTGAGACAGTATAATGCAACAGATAATGCTCATGACGCATGTAAGAACTACCTGAAAATTATTGCCGGTTGTTTTGGAAAGTGTTGTATCATGGGATATTGTATGAAAATGGGTGAATATTTTTGAAGTCTGTTAAAGCTGACAGAATTGAGTCATTGTCGATGCGCTCTGATAATGTTGATGAGTTTGAGCTGTCTGTACTAGCCACAGAGTCCAAATCGGCTCCAATTATGAAATGAATTTTTATTAATAAATATATTCTGAAACTGTTTTCTTACCGCTCAATTTGAATTCTTCCTAATAAATAATTCGACACAGTGTAGGAAACACTCTGGAATCATTTATAGTTCGAATCGAAAGTTGTAAACGCTATCGTCAGTAGTGTCCTTCAAGCGGATTGGGTACCCGGCACCTGAATCAGCAATATAGGAGATCTCGACATTTTAAAATATTTGTACTTTTTCAAACTGCTATTTATATAAAAGTATAGGAATAGAAACTGGTTCGATCATGACCGAGCAATTTATAGTATCACTTAAGAACATGTCATAGAAGTGGAAAACGATATTGTTTCATTAAGAGAATTCGTTTTTTATGAGAATTTATCTACCGATCATGAGTAACCGCATGATGAAGTAATTGAATAGATGGAGAGGAAAATAAAGTATCAAAAAGGTGAATATGTATTACCGTGATGGACAAAGCATTCATGCATGTATCCACAAATATGATATCTGACACCAACA